AAAGATTGTCCATTTGGTTCGGCTTTTTAATTTGGTAGAATTAGCTCATAACTGCCGGAATGTAAAAATTTACAACAGAATCTTTCCACAAACGTGGATTATAGAGAAAATGTTTTGACATCAACTAACCGATCTAGTCTAGACATGAAATCCATTGTAGTCTGTCCATCCCGAGACAGGGATACCTCCTCTGATGTTCTTCCTAAGGTTTCTTCCCTTTCTCCCTATGGAAGGGTTTTTAGTTTTTTGGGGAGTTTTTCCTGTGCCGATGTAAGGGTTTCGGGATAGAGGATGTTGCATGTGTACAGACTGTAAAGCCCTCTAAGGCAAATTTGTAATTTGCGATTTTGGGCTATACAAATAAAATGAATTAAAATGAATTGAATCTATAAAAAAACTAGATAATTGGTAATACAACTACTAAATGAACTAAAATACAAAAAAAATAGTGCTGGGATTCACTGTGCAGGGACTTTTTTTGATCTGTCAAGTCATGTTTGTACTGGCTTTCCTTTTGGAGAATCCCAGTCCAAAAAAAGTAGAGAAACACCTTTCAGTGATGCAGGTTACAAATTATTTAGGGGTATTTTAAATACATTTATTGCACAAAACTACAATATTGGATGTATAAGACCACAAAACCATTCCCCTTGCTTGTAGACCCACTGGGCCATTTGCTGACCATGCATTTGGCTCTCCTCATATTTGCAACCACTGTCTTTTCAAGCAATTGGTAGGTCATCTTTTTCTGGTTTCTTTGTCTTCTTATTGAACCCTCCACTATTTAAAAGAAGTTGAATTGTTAATTTTTCCCAGATTTTCCCAGAGGCGCAGGCAGGCTACAAATACTGCGTTGTTTTGTAATGTTGTTCTGGTGTATTTGCTATATCTTAAACCAGGTTGTATTATGTAAGGTATTAACTTTGGTCAACTAAGATGTATTGTCATTAGCTATAGCTGTAAATATCCACCATTGGGTTAACTTTGAGTTGAAGATTGAGTAAAGGCACATAATGAAACCTGTTTGTGTGTTTTATACCAACCTATAACTGCTTCTCCTTTTAGGTTTAATTGGCCTCAGATACAGTTACCAAATTAGCTGTAACTACTAGTCATAGCCAGAAGAGAAAATGTACATGTTTCACAGCATAACCAGATGTTTTAATTGTTCCAAAGTTTATGATTATCGATCTACAACCATGAATTACAATCCAGGGCATAATGGTTACATAGAATAATTTAGGCCAACAAGACAATATGGATTTTTTCCCATCAGTTTTTTACCGGCTACCTTCCTCGCCTTTCCCTGGCGAAGGCAAAGAAGAGGAAGGTTTTCCCTGAGCGTTTCACTGATTTTAGAGTTGACCCATTAAATTAAACCATACAATACAACCTGTGAATTGATGTTATTTCATCACTTTTTTACCAACTACATCTGTTTTCAGTCAGTTAATCAGCTACTCCGCCTTCCTCTTCTTTGCCTTCGCCTTTCTGCCACAGCACCTGCGGAAGCAGAAACTGCAGGTCTTGACAAAGAGGAGGACAAGGACCAGAACAATGGCGAGGACGAAGGCCAGGACATCCAGGCTGTGGTACTGGTACCAGGTGAGCTCATGGGCCTGCACCCTCAGGTGCTTGGCCCCTTTGTTTCTCATGGTGAACTCCATCCAGAACACCGCCTCGTCCAGAGGACTCATTGGTCGGTCGTGGTGGATCCTGGACAGCCGCAAGGCGTTCTCCTTGTACCTGTGGGAGGAGACATATGGGGGAGGGGGGATGGGGGTGGATTACTGCGATGTATGTATTTTAATTTCAATTCTTCAATCACTTTCTTTGGCCTACCAATTATGTTGGTATCTTTGTTATGTTGGCCTACCTTTGGCCAACATAACAGTTGTTTTGTCATTTGTTTTTTTCCCCTGAAGCTCTTAAATGTCAACTGAACTGACATCCTACATTTGGCCAAGACGCTTTTGTGGTTCATGGCGTCTCTGAATCAGTTAGTAGGTAACTTACGATTTGTCATTGATGACGGTGTTGACTGCATCTCTGAGGTCGTCCTGCTTCATGAAGTTCAAGCTCACGGTGACTGCAGCTCCCTTTGCCTCAACATGCACCATGTTGTCTGGCTGGTCGGCGAACATGGGAATTCCCACCATGGGAACGCCGTGGTAGATGGCCTCAAATATCCCGTTTGCTCCGCCATGGGTGATGAAAACTCTGGTCTTTGGGTGACCTGATACGGTACAAAGAATGAAGAAACATACAATACTTTCCTCAATCAAGATCGGTTATTAGAAACACGATTACTATAAACATATTATGAATGTTGGCTTGAGATTGGATGCAGGCTCAATCAGATACTACTTACATTAAAGATCGTGCATTTTTTTGGGTGACATTCATTTTAATACTATAGTCTCGTAATGTAATTCACATACTGTTGTAAATGGATGAAAGGTCTCCTGTGGAAGAAACTGATCTACTGGATGGAAAGACTACTAGATGCTTGTACTGAACATAGGCAAAGGCTTATGAGTGGATGGTTTCGAACATCTGGTATTGATAATTATTTCTCTCTTTTTTTTTTTTTTTTTGTGTTCAGTAACTTTTATAAAGGCCCCACTTACCCAGTAGGTCATTCTGTGGGATCCAGTTGTAGATTCTAGTGTTGACACCCAGAGTTGCTGGAGCTTCTCCACTGTATCTCCAAAGCACCTGTAAACAAGAAGGGAACACTGCTAGTTCTATGTAATAATCTACCATGGCTGTAGATTTAATTTCTGACACAACTTGGCCTGTCAGAGTTTCGCAATTAACAAAAATGCCCTCATTGTAACTGACTGTCCCTTGAACAAGGCTGAACCAACCCATTTGAATTATTCTCATTGCTTTACTTCCCTTTCCCTTCACTGTAATTATTCAACTAGAAAAAAATGGCATGTTTTGATTTTACACCATTTATTATTGTTAAATACAAATCCTATATAAATACTGACCTCCAAACCGATCATCTACTTTCTACAAGTGGCTGGTATTAAGATCAGTCCAAAAGCATTTTATTTACTAATTCAACGGCTGCAAAACAAAGCCCTCATTCACCATAATTAGAAGGCGAGGTTTTGAAATGGTTCTTGTCATGTTACAAATTAAGTTCATCCAACAGTGCAATACTGGGCCACTAAAACTGCTTTTGGAGGTCATTCATTTCACTCCATTTGGCTCCTAGTTTGTCCTCTGACCTTTTGTGGGATCTGAGCGAGGGCTGAGGCAATCATGTTTGCTTTCTCTGTCGTGATGTTGCTGATTAATGATCCCAAAGAGAAGACCACGATGCCAGCATCTCCAGAACTCTGCACAAACTCCTCCATATCCTGAAAGAATCACATTATCACAATGCAAACCAAGAGAAATGTTCTCATAGTTTAGTTTGGGAGTAGTGTAGAGGAGGTGTATTAATACTGTGATAAGTAGAGACGGCCCTGTACCTCTGGCAGCGGTTTGGCCGGTCTGCAGTGAATTCCACCAACAAATTTGAAGTTGGGGAGGGAAGGACGAGGGAAATCAAAATCCCAGTAGCTTCGCATCAACCAGATATCTGCCCGACCCATCGTCTCACAGGCACTGGTGGGTGTTCCTGTCATGAAACAAAAAGTAATGGATGAAAACTTTCCAAATATTTACAGAAAAAATTAAATTAAATCAATATTTCAATAAAACAATTAATGTTACACCGTGTGTCTTGTGGAGAAACTCACCTTTGACTTCAGAGTAATATTTATCGAGTACTTTCCAGCTTACATGATTGATCACGATGTCCTGCAGCGCGTAGAAGAGGAAGTTCCACACTCTCTCAGAGAAGTCCATCCTGTCAGTGAGTTTGCTCATGGCGCCGGGTACGAAGGAAGGAGGAGCAGGTAGCTGACCACACTGTCTTTCCCAGTGATGGGCAAGAGAGAACCGTAAGGAAAAGACCAGGGGGATGCCCAAGATGTCTGCTACTAAGTCGCCGCCAGGATAGACAGGGTCAGCCAGGAGAAGGTCGTATTTTCCCTCCTTCAGCTTCTTCATGATGGGTTCAGATTTCACCACGCCGTCTATACAGATCAAAGTATGCTTCAAGTTGTCCTTTATCATGTCTATGAATCTGATATAAATCTGCATGTAGCTGAGGTGATCGATCTCATACATGGAAAAGTGAATGAAGTCTTTGATGAACTTCTCCATAGAAACGGAGACGTTGAAGGGTTCGTAGACAAAGCGAGAAGGCTCCTTGGTGTTCATGAACATGGACGTGCTCGGGACCAGAACCGTCACCTGGTGTCCCCTGTCGATCAGCGTCTCCAGCAGAGGCTTCATGTTGATCCAGTGGCTGCCTTCAGTGTACCACACCAAAATGTTCCCCCCGTCTGTGCTCCATGTCCCGCAAAGTAGCAGCAGGACACACGCAGAGAGACTCTGCCCCGACTTCATGGTGCCTGTTTGTCCGGGTGAAAAGCTGCCTGTGCTCTAAATCCCTTTTTTTTTAAGGCGGCTTCTAAATAATTATTAACTAAACACAATTGAACTTTGGGTCTTAGCCCATTTTTGGTGCATAAAGCTTTATCTAACGGACTATTGGAGGTACAAGGTAAAAGTTGTAAAGCTAGAAATTGCTATTGATAAACAAGTCTCTAACTTGTCCCATAAATCTTGTCCCCGACTCAAGATCCTCCAATTCTTTTTGGGTTCTTTTATTCATCTCTCCTCAGTCCTGTGTTCTTTTTGAATGAGGACCTATTTTTTGTAGCTCATTTGCTTTGCTTTTGATGGTTTAAGCCCTCAAGAGGATCTTAAAGCCAAACCAACTTGTGTAACTACCAATATGGGAAAGGAGTTGCAAAGATTTTTTTATTAGTGCTGGGCAACGATTAACATTGTATTTGCATTCAATCCCATGATTTTTGCTAATTACTTGTCTTTCATCACATTGTTATGCTAAAATGTAAATATTTCATAAGTAGTGTTGTAGCCATATTTATTCAAAGACTTTAAACATATAAATTGGGTCTTAACAGCAATATTTCCTTTACAGAGTAGCAACTCAATATTTATTGTAAATCTCAACATGAAACATGAATATAAGAACAAAGCAATATGCTACTGCCAGGGCATAAACGTGTTATGTATTTATGTGTATATATATCAAAAAAATGTAATGTAAAACATACCATTTCATATTCCTGAACCTGCCCCAAGTACACAGCTGGGATTCACTGTGCAGGGACCTTTATGTATTTGTCATATTTGTACTGACTTTATTTTTGGAGAATCCCATTGCAAACAAAAAGGGAAACTCCGTTCAGTGATGCAGATTAGAAATCACTATGGTTCTATCAACTCTGCTGTCTGGAATACAGATTTAAAAGGAAAATGTTCACGTAATTGTTCAACATCTTTCTCTGCCAGTTCTTTTCTATTTCGGTCCATGTGAGCGGAGCAGCGGTTTTAGACACGCCCCCAAAAGCTCTCATTGGTCGAGACCTCTGATGACGGCCCTCCCAATCAAATTCGGCTACTCCTTAACTACTTCAACATCACCTGGTGTGACCCATGGTTTTCAAAATAATGAATAAAATAAACTGCGATAACACGCAATAAAATAATCGTCGGCATTCATTTATGCGTTACCGAAATGATAGCACGTTACCGTGCCCAGCACTAGTTATTAAACCTTTTCACATATGAGATCATTGTGTATATATAATTTTTACTGTTAACAGTTTCAGTTGAATTCAAAACCCATTAACAATCTAATCTGTGGTTGGACTTGATGTTAAGCTGCAGTGTAAACATTTACTGGTTTTCATTTCTTCCATCAGTGTTACACCCGTCTTTGTCTGTAGCTGTTCAGAGTGACTGGTCAACTGTAGTCTGCATGTCGTCTACAACACATTCGTCAGACCTGTCGATGAGGCCATTAACTATAACGGGTAATATATGTTATTGACCCAAATATATTCTAAACACCTAAAATAAGAATGTACAGAGAAAATACAGAACACAATCGACTCCACTGGTCTTGCCATTAAACAGGCAGTACGGTCTTGCATAACAACAGATTTACTAGTAAAGCACATGCTACATGTTTCACAGCACAACCAGATGGTTTAAACATGTTCTTGTTTTAATTGTTCCAAAGGTTATGATTACCCATCTAAAACAATAAATTACAATCCAGGGCATAATGGTTACATAGAATAATTAAGACAATATGGATTTTTTCCCATCAGTTTTTCACCGGCTACACCGAAGTTCAGCTACTCCGCCTTCCTCTTTGCCTTCGCCTTTCTGCCACAGCACCTGCGGAAGCAGAAACTGCAGGTCTTGACAAAGAGGAGGACAAGGACCAGAACAATGGCGAGGACAAAAGCCAGGACATCCAGGCTGTGGTACTGGTACCAGGTGAGCTCATGGGCCTGCACCCTCAGGTGCTTGGCCCCTTTGTTTCTCATGGTGAACTCCATCCAGAACACCGCCTCGTCCAGAGGACTCATTGGTCGGTCGTGGTGGATCCCGGACAGCCGCAAGGCATTCTCCTTGTACCTGTGGGAGGAGACATACAGGAGGGATGGAGTGGATTAAAGGGACACAAGTCTTCCATCTATTTCTACTTGTGTGTGCTGAAAGTCAAGTGGAAAAAAAAGAGTTTGACCTTTGTTTGCGTCAAGTATTTTGAAAAGGAAAGCCATCGTACAAGAGGAGAGACCATTGAGCGTTTTTTATCATTTCTTTGTGACCTTGAAACTATGGTAATTGAACTCCTTCATGGCATGTCTTCAATCGCTCACGTCAAAGCAGTCATTTTGCATTTAAATCTGTCACAGAACTTACGATTTGTCATTGATGACGGTGTTGACTGCATCTCTGAGGTCGTCCTTCTTCATGAAGTTCAAGTTTACGGTGACTGCAGCTCCCTTTGCCTCAACGTGCACCATGTTGTCTGGCTGGTCGGCGAACATGGGAATTCCCACCATGGGAACGCCGTGGTAGATGGCCTCATAGATGCCGTTTGTGCCACCGTGGGTGATGAAAGCTCTGGTCTTGGGGTGACCTGACGTGGGTAATAAAAATCATAAAACATGCATCAATGTCTTTAGCTAAGACATTGCGGCTAAAGTACATATTTCCACTTCTTTGCGATGTGGCTACTTACACGTACTGAACTTTGGCAAAGACTCGTGATTGGACGATTCTGTAAAACCTCCAGAAAGCGGCACATAAGCTCAACCTGATAGATTTGTGCTTTTAGTTCTCTGTCATTGTTGGGCACAATCATTGAACCCATCGGCTATCGGTTGGAAAACGGTTTTGCGTCTGAAGGCAACGGCCATTATTTCACGGTTCCTGTTTAGCAACCGGATGTCCAGGCGAAGATTTCCTTTTGTGTTCTTCGTCATTGTTCACGGTGCGGCAACTAGAGAGCTGAGACTGGAGGTGAGAGACGTCGTCTATGATTTGCTTGTTTCACAAGTTGGCGTTAGAAAAGCTCATTTTATGATGATAGAAAGCACTTTAAACCTTTTGGAAAGTAGATTTTCATCTTTTTGTGTAACAACTCCCAAATCTGTACAAAGACATTGTGTATATAGTTAATATGTTGTATGGAATAAAGACAGCTTCATTTTGTGGACATGTCTGCATAGTTTACTTTTCACTGAATAAATACTAGTTTGTAATTATAAATAAAATCACTTGTCTCAGAGGAAAAACAAGTTCACTGAAACATTCTTGCTGTGTTTTCTTTAAGCATTACTTACCCAGTAGGTCATTCTGAGGGATCCAGTCGTATAATCTGGTGTTCCCACCCAGAGTTGCTGGTTTGTCTCCACTGTATCTCCACAGCACCTATGAACAAAAATAGAAACATTCAAAATAACACAGTGCTAATTCTATTTCAAAATAAACTCCAGTACATTACAGTGTTTCCCACAGATCCAACGTCAATGTGTGGGGGCTGGATAGAACTATACACAATTCACAGTATATACCACTCCCATAGCTGTAGTACACATTTCACATTTGTGTGTGTGTGAGTGTGTGAGGGACAGAGACGGAGGGAGAGCAGGGAAAGGAAATGTAGCTGAACGAATACGCTGCCCGATTCAAGTAGCGTTAAAAATAATAATAAATACACCAAGAATGTGTGGCGGCCGGTGTTGAATCTGTGGCGCACCGCCACAAATTAGTCTACGTGTGGGAAACACTGCATTAACACATGCTAAAAGAAATAGTTGAAATTGAAAACAAACCTAGTTATTTTCATCTATGAATGGTCTTTGCTGATTAACTTGTGGTAGTCTATCCAACGTGATTAGGTTCCATTGTTTGTTTTTAGCTAATACCTCCTCTTTCCTCTTACCTTTACGCGCTGTCATCTCCATTCAAACTAAAAAGAATGCAGGGTCACTCTAAATACATGCAAGTTGACCACTGCATTTAGAACATCCCGAGCCTTTTAGTCGCACCGCTACATCTGTGCAGAGGCGCGGCTCCATCACGGAGTGACAGGCACCGTGTAGGACTTCGGTGGACTATCTTTGTATTGGTGATGCTTTTTGCTCAAAGTAGAGGAACAATGTTTTCCTGTTGACAAATATTGAATGTTAAACGGCAGAACTTTCTGATAAAAGAGAGAAGGGGTATTTCTTTGCATTTGTGTACAATTCCTCCTCATGTTAATTCAAAACATGCACGACTGGAGACCACAGCTGCTTTTGATTTCATCTTCATTTTGTTTTGCAACCCTGTGTTGCAAAGAACTAATCTAGAAAGAATCTTGTCCTCTGACCTTTTGTGGGATCTGAGCGAGGGCAGATGCTATCATGTTTGCTTTCTCTGCTGTGATGTTCTTGATGAATGATCCCAATGAGAAGACCACAATTCCGGCATCTCCAGAACTCTGCACAAACTCCTCCACATCCTGGAAGAATCACATCATCACAATGCAAACCGAGCAGCATTTCCATTTCTCACTTTTTAGAGACTCGTTCTCTTTATTGTTGAAGCCAGAAAGACAGTGGAGACGTCGCCGTACCTCTGGCAGCGGTTTGGCCGGTCTGCAGTGAATTCCACCAACAAATTTGAAGTTGGGGAGGGAAGGACGAGGGAAATCAAAATCCCAGTAGGTTCGCATCAACCAGATATCTGCCCGACCCATCGTCTCACAGGCACTGGTGGGTGTTCCTGTCATGAAACAAAAAGTAATGGATGACAGTTGTCCATTTACAATGTAATAGACAGCTTTCCAAATCTTTGTTGACACGAATGACTCTATAGAACCAGTGCAATTCATCCATATCTATGAAGTCACCATTGGCCTTTATGTGGTCAATGAACTATCAATGTTACGCCGTGCGTCTTGTATTGGAGTAACTCACCTTTGACTTCGGAGTAATATTTATCGAGCACTTTCCAGTTTACATGATCGATCACGATGTCCTGCAGCGCGTAGAAGAGGAAGTTCCACACTCTCTCAGAGAAGTCCATCCTGTCGGTGAGTTTGCTCATGGCGCCGGGTACGAAGGAAGGAGGAGCAGGTAGCTGACCACACTGTCTTTCCCAGTGATGGGCAAGAGAGAACCGTACGGACAAGACCAGGGGGATGCCCAAGATGTCTGCTACTAAGTCGCCGCCGTGGAAGATGGGGTCGGCCAGAAGAAGGTCGTATTTTCCCTCCTTCAGCTTCTTCATGATGGGTTCAGATTTCACCACGCCGTCTACATACTTTAAAGCATTTTGGAGGTCTTGACTCATCAAATCCATGTATCTGATGTACATCTGCACGTAGCTCATGTGATCTATCTCATACATGGAGAAGTGAAGGTACTCCTCAAAAAGCTCCTCCAAGGTCTCCATAGAAACGGAGACGTTGAAGGGTTGGTAGACAAAGCGAGAAGGCTCCTTGGTGCTCATGAACATGGACGTGCTCGGGACCAGAACCGTCACCTGGTGTCCCCTGTCGATCAGCGTCTCCAGCAGAGGCTTCATGTTGATCCAGTGGCTGCCTTCAGTGTACCACACCAAAATGTTCCCCACGTCTGTGCTCCATGTCTCGCAAAGTAGCAGCAGGACACACGCAGAGAGACTCTGCCCCGACTTCATGGTGCCTGTTTGTCCGGGTGAAAAGCTGCCTGTGCTTCAAGTATTTCCTCTCTTTTTATGGTGCTCCTAGAAAATAATCATTAACCAAACCAAGTTGAACTCTGGCTCGTAGCTCATCTTTATGCTGCATGAACCATTACGTAAAGGACCCTCTATCAGCCAGTGTTTGGAGGTAACAGGTGAAGGCTGTAAAGCTAAACATTGGTATTAATAAGCAACAGTCATTCGTCCCACAGATCCATGAACACAAAAGTAAAAACAGGCTCAAAATCCCTGGATTCCAGCCGGGTTCTATCAATCATCTCTCCTCAGCAAGAGGCAGCTAATCCTGGTTGTCGCTCTTCTCCTCTCTCTCTCAATCACTAGAGGGCACACTCATCCTGTGCTGTACTGAAGGAGGGTTTATTTTCTTCTTAGCTCATTAACTCTGGTTATGTGCTGTTTTTTTGTTTTGTTGGTTAAAGCCCTCAAAAGAGTGTGATTACCAATAAGGGAAAGAAGTTGCAAAGGAATACAACGTGTTATCCTACAATTTACAGATCATTGTGTATATTTTTTAATTGTTTAAATGCTGTTTTCAGGGAGGAATATTGTCCTGTCTAGTCTTCACTTGGTGCATGTCCATGATTGAACCACCGTTCACATCCCTCAGATACAAGCTGCCCCGGGGTCTTGGTTTGTAAAATGGTGATCTGCGTTTGTAGGATCTGCTTCATGTTGATTGCCAGCTAATGTTTATTTTAACCTAGAACAAAAATCTCGAACTTAACTGATGGATGAAAAAATGCTTTAATACCAGAACATTTTATGCTATTTGTTTCACAAGGTATCATTCTATATTTGGATTCAGCTTCTTTGTGTATAAATATATAAAGCTCATTATATCATGACCGCTTAGAAGAATTATATGAACAGAATCAAAAATGACAAATTGTTTCCTCCTCCGTTATTCCGGCAAGTCGGCCTGAACTCGACTTCACAGAGACATAAACAAGTGAACGTAGAAAGCTGCAGTGAAGATGCAAAAATCATAAAAATCAAACTACCACTGCTGTAATGTTTGATTGAATGAACACAACCAACAATTGTCTCAACCCCCCCATAAGACGTGTTTCTCACATGCGCAGACACATTATCCTTTTTATCCATGCTGATGTCAGCAACAGCTTTCTGCAGGCGTCTCCGGGCGTCTTACTGCCATTGCTGCAAAATGAAGCATTTATTTATTCTTTACGTCTGCATTAAGTCTAGTGCATTGAGACTGTGTGAGCATTCAGCTGCTAAAACCCTCCTTTTAGGAGAGCAGTATGCAGTACAAACTGATTCAGTATGCAGTACAATGTTATAAGAAAATAATGATATCGCCTCTATTGAATTGATCATGCGAGTCTCTGCAACCAGGAGAAGACCTTGAGCATGCAGCCATGAATGGAAGAGTGGATTAGCTGTGGACGGACCCTGCACACACTAATCAACTCCTCGCAAATATAACAAATAGTACAACATTGTTTGGAGTTTCATGAGGGGTTTTCCCTGAGTGTTTCACTGAGTTTAGAGTTGAGCCATTAAATTAAACCATACAATACAACCAGTGAATTAACCTTATTTCATCACTTTTTTTACCAACTACATCTGTTTTCAGTCAGTTACTCAGCTACTCCGCCTTCCTCTTCTTTGCCGTCGCCTTTCTGCCACAGCACCTGCGGAAGCAGAAACTGCAGGTCTTGACAAAGAGGAGGACAAAGACCAGAACAATGGCGAGGACGAAGGCCAGGACATCCAGGCTGTGGTACTGGTACCAGGTGAGCTCATGGGCCTGCACCCTCAGGTGCTTGGCCCCTTTGTTTCTCATGGTGAACTCCATCCAGAACACCGCCTCGTCCAGAGGACTCATTGGTCGGTCGTGGTGGATCCCGGACAGCCGCAAGGCGTTCTCCTTGTACCTGTGGGAGGAGACATACGAGGGGGGGAGGATTACTCCGTTGTATGTATTTCTATTGCGTTGCTTTACTTTCTTTGACCTCAGGGTTTTTTACACAGAGCTTACGATTTGTCATTGATGACGGTGTTGACTGCATCTCTGAGGTCGTCCTTCTTCATGAAGTTCAAGTTTACGGTGACTGCAGCTCCCTTTGCCTCAACGTGCACCATGTTGTCTGGCTGGTCGGCGAACATGGGAATTCCCACCATGGGAACGCCGTGGTAGATGGCCTCATAGATGCCGTTTGTGCCACCGTGGGTGATGAAAGCTCTGGTCTTGGGGTGACCTGACGTGGGTAATAAAAATCATGAAACATGCAACAATCTCTTCAGCTAAAGTACATATTTCCACTTCTTTGCGATGTGGCTACTTACACGTACTGAACTTTGGCAAAGACTCGTGATTGGACGATTCTGTAAAACCTCCAGAAAGCGGCACACAAGCTCAACCTGATAGATTTGTGCTTTTAGTTCTCTGTCATTGTTGGGCACAATCATTGAACACATCGGCTATCGGTTGGAAAACGGTTTTGCGTCTGAAGGCAACGGCCATTATTTCACGGTTCCTGTTTAGCAACCGGATGTCCAGGCGAACATTTCCTTTTGTGTTCTTCGTCATTGTTCACGGTGCGGCAACTAGAGAGCTGAGACTGGAGGTGAGAGACGTCGTCTATGATCTGCTTGTTTCACAAGTTGGCGTTAAAAAAAGCTCATTTTATGATGATAGAAAGCACTTTAAACCTTTTGGAAAGTAGATTTTCATCTTTTTGTGTAACAACTCCCAAATCTGTACAAAGACATTGTGTATATAGTTAATATGTTGTATGGAATAAAGACAGCTTCATTTTGTGGACATGTCTGCATAGTTTACTTTTCACTGAATAAATACCAGTTTGTAATTATAAATAAAATCACTTGTCTCAGAGGAAAAACAAGTTCACTGAAACATTCTTGCTGTGTTTTCTTTAAGCATTACTTACCCAGTAGGTCATTCTGAGGGATCCAGTCGTATAATCTGGTGTTCCCACCCAGAGTTGCTGGTTTGTCTCCACTGTATCTCCACAGCACCTATGAACAAAAATAGAAACATTCAAAATAACACAGTGCTAATTATATTGCATAATAAACTCCTTAACAGTACATTAACACATGCTAAATAAAGTGCACAAATTGTTGAAATTGAAGACAAACCTAGTTATTTTCATCTAGAAATGGTCTTTACCGATTAACTTTTGGGAATCTATCCAATGTGGTTAGTTTCCATTGTTTCTTTTGATCTAATACCTCCTGTTACCTTTACGCCGTGTCCTGCTACCTTGATTCAAACAGAAAAGAATGCAGGGTCACTCTAACTTTCATTTCACTTCAGATAAGATTTTGCCGCCAACCTTTTACCTTATTATTTTTAATTGCCCCATATACAGTGTAAAATATATGTAATTTGACCTCTGCCTTTAAAACATCCTAGGCCTTTTAGTAGCAGCGCTCGGTGGGCTACTTGGTTCAGCGTCTTAAGAACACTTTGACATGCGGTTTGGAGGCGAAGAAGATTGAATGTCACGTGGTATTAAATTACATTTAAGACATAAAAAGCTTCACAAAAACTTTTTTCAAGTGACCTCCAACGCCGTTTGGGTGTGGACAAAGGTCAAGGCTCATAGAAAAGGCGGCCATGTATACAAAAATAGCCATTCATGTGTGGTACAGGCCGAACACTAAGTAAACGTGAATTATGTGTAAGGAACAGTCTGCTAGCTGCAGTGTGAAATGCCACAGGCCTGAACTGATAATGACTAGCTCACTGCTGCAGCCTCCCAAGCTCTATCTTTATTCATCCATTGGGATAAGTCTCAGGGGTCATTCAAGTTAATTCAAGTTCCTTTTCCATGGTGATGTCTGTGCATACAGATGTGCTAGCGTGCTATCGTATTTATCATTAATCTGCCCTGGTTCTACTCCTCTGCCTGCTCGGGTTACGTAGCCCAAGGATGACACAGGAATGCTTGGAGACTGTTCCCACATCTGTGCAGAGGCGCGGCTCTATCACGGAGTGACTGGCGTCATGTAGGACTTTGGTGGACTATCTTTGTATTGGTGATGCTTTTTTCTCAAATATTGTCAGAAAAGGGGAACAATGTTTTCCTGATGACAAATATTTAGTGTTACGGCAGAACTTTTTGCTCAAAGAAAACAGGACTGTGTACAATTCCTCCTCATGTTAATTCAAAACATGCACGACTGGAGAGCACAGCTGCTTTCGATTTGATTTTTCTTCACGTTGCATATGGGAACTATATCTGCTGCATTTTGTTTTGCAACCCTGTGTTGCAAAGAACTACTCTAGAAAGAATCTTGTCCTCTGACCTTTTGTGGGATCTGAGCGAGGGCAGATGCTATCATGTTTGCTTTCTCTGCTGTGATGTTCTTGATGAATGATCCCAATGTGAAGACCACAATTCCGGCATCTCCAGAACTCTGCACAAACTCCTCCACGTCCTGGAAGAATCACATCATCACAATGCAAACCAAGCAGCATTTCCATTTCTCACTTTTTAGAGACTCGTTCTCTTTATTGTTGAAGCCAGAAAGACAGTGGAGACGTCGCCGTACCTCTGGCAGCGGTTTGGCCGGTCTGCAGTGAATTCCACCAACAAATTTGAAGTTAGGGAGGGAAGGACGAGGGAAATCAAAATCCCAGTAAGTTCGCATCAACCAGATATCTGCCCGACCCATCGTCTCACAGGCACTGGTGGGTGTTCCTGTCAGGAAACAAAGTGATAAATGACAAATGCCATTTGGAAAGTATTACCAACACTTATGATAGCTTAGTTGTACGTTTAATTTTCTCAGAATAAGTGTTGACAAAATTGACTGGATCTAAAAACATTGCAATCAATCCGAAAATTCTTTAGGCTTCCTTATAAATGTGTTGTTACATAGTTTGTACTCACCTTTGACTTGGGAGTAATATTTATCAAGTTCTTTCCAAAAAATGTTTTCTAACAGGATGTCCTGCAGCGCGTAGAAGAGGAAGTTCCACACTCTCTCAGAGAAGTCCATCCTGTCGGTGAGTTTGCTCATGGCGCCGGGTACGAAGGAAGGAGGAGCAGGTAGCTGACCACACTGTCTTTCCCAGTTATTAGCGAAGGAAAACCGTAAGGAGAAGACCAGGGGGATGCCCAAGATGTCTGCTACTAAGTCGCTGCCAGGATAGACAGGGTCCGACAGAAGAAGGTCGTATTTTGCCTCCTTCAGTTTCTTCATGATGGGTTCAGATTTCACCACGCCGTCCAAATACATCAAAGAATACTTCAAGTTGTCCTTCATCATATCCATGAATCTGATATAAATCTGTACGTAGCTCATGTGATCCATCTCATACATGGAGAAGTGAAGGAAGTCTTTCATGAACTTCTCCATGGTCTCCATAGAAACGGAGACGTTGAAGGGTTCGTAGCTGAAGCGAGAAGGCTCCTTGGTGTTCATGAACATGGACGTGCTCGGGACCAGAACCGTCACCTGGTGTCCCCTGTCGATCAGCGTCTCCAGCAGAGGCTTCATGTTGATCCAGTGGCTGCCTTCAGTGTACCACACCAAAATGTTCCCCCCGTCTGTGCTCCATGTCCCGCAAAGTAGCAGCAGGACACACGCAGAGAGACTCTGCCCCGACTTCATCCTGCCTGTTTGTCCGGGTGGAAAGCTGCCTGTGCTCTAAATCCCCTTTTCTTGTTTTTTTAAAACTGCTCCGAGAAAAATAATCATTAACTAAACACAGCTGAACTCTGGCTCGTAGCTGTTCTTTGTCTGGCGTGACATGTTATACAACGAGCCCACCCCGAGCAAAGCTTGCCTGGTGAAAGGTTATGCTGTGTCAGTATTCGAGGAAACAATGTAGTCTGTAACCTGAACCATCCACCGAGGGGGAAGTAGAACCCAACCTTAGGAAAGCAAGATTGTAATTGGCTCTGGAGAGATGGGTTGGAATAACTGGCTGATAAAGCAGCTATGTGGGCTCGCAGCCATATGAGCAATTTGAGGATATTGTATGTGCATGTAGGAGCCTGAGCACGAATATCTGTGCACACAAAGTGTGTGAGTGAGCGTGAAACCAAGAATGTGTTCGATTGGAACCTTTTAAAGGCACGTTTCAGAACCAGTGGTTTGCTTACAGCCCCTTTTCCCTCAGTTCTGATAATAATGATAAAGCCTCACTAGCGCGGTGGCTCCAGACATCTGAGTCTCCTCAAGTGTGTTGCATTGGTTAACCTGCACATCTGGTACTGATATGCTGCACTTGAGGATGATCCGTGCTGAGTTTTAACACGTCTGCACAAGATTTTCTACAGATATTCTTGTTTCTCAGACAATGCATGCTGCTACCTGCAAATGATCCCCTTACTTTTCCTCTAGTGCCCCCAGGGTCGGGACTTTTTTGGGGTTGTTTTTCTCTTTAACGTCTCAACATGCCAACATGCCATGTGTGGATACACTTCAGGCTGAATAAGTACTGGTGATCCCTTCATCGTGTATATACGTAGCTGCCAGCACGGCTGCAGTCTCTTGTTTTGGGGCTGTATCCAGCAGCCGAATGAGGCAGCTGATTTCAGGAAACCGGCAGGGGTCACAGGGGTCAGCTCGGGGTGAATATCAGGGAGGCGGGGGTTGTCGACGATGCCTTTAGGAATCGGCGGCGTTGAGGGTGTGCCATGTCACATGCAACCAAATCTTAACTCTGGCTCTCCTTTGGCCCCCTCATTAACATTGTAAATTCCTTTTGACGGCGGATTCATTGAGCGTCTGGAAAAACAAAAAGCATTTGAATATCGCATTCAAGGCCCTGCTGAGGGAGTCAGTGGCCATTCAGAGGCTGTACGTGTATACTGTTCCGTCCTCAGACCTCCCCCGGTGGTTCAGAGGAGGTGTGTGTGTGGGGGGGGGGACGGGACTAGTGACGGGTACGTCACGGTGCTACACACAATTGCGCAATCATTCGGCCTAAAGTGTTGAATTCCACATGAAATTAAACACCAGAGCATAGAGCGCAACCTACGCTCCAGTCCCTGCATATCTGCCGCTTCCCCTCC